ACCTTGAGAGACGACAATCTTCCCGGAAGCATCTGGAAGGAGAAAGGGCGGTGCCTCTGAAGGGCCCTGGTCGAAGCACTGGGTCACGGTCACCACGCCAACCCGATGGGAGTAGGTCACGCATGCGATGGCTGCTTCCATTTTGGCACTTGCTGCGCTCAGTAGAAGTCTTGCCGGGTGTGCCAGCCTTTTAGAGACGTTTACCAGACCATTTATAAACATTTCTGGTTGGGGACTCGGAATGATTCTGGTTGTGATCGTCGTCCTGACTGCGACGTTCAAGAATTCCTGAAGAGATGGGGGCGCTTTATAAAGTCCTCCTGATCAGCCAGATCATTCGGGTGTAAGGCTCGTTTCCGTACGAGGGTAAATAAGAGTGGACTGGCTGGCTTGCTCGGCTCTAACTTTGGCACAACAGTGGGCCGATACACACACGAAGACACCGCTCGCTCAAAGATGTTGTTCGGTATGTTGGATTGAGGGGAGGGTAGGTTCCAATTGGTGCTCAACTGAATACACAACCATACCCACTCATCATACATCTGCTACATGGTCATTTTGTTCTTTTGATTAGTTGGTGGACAGACTGCTAACACCTCACAGACAAATTAGATTAGGATTGTTGTATGCTACCATAGCCAGTTCTAACTAATGCTGACTGTAAGTGAACCAATCAGAGTACATCTAGACTATGTAGACAATCTGTGTGAATGTTGTAGACATGCCACTTGATCGGTACAGTAGGGAACTTGCTGGACACAACCATTTTTAGAAAACTAAGTGTCGGTCAGACACATGCTGTGGTAGGATTCCATTAGGGGGTTCTAGTGCAGATAATGTCTGCCTAACTGATGAACGGATCAGACGTTGATGAGGAGAGAGTTGATGATGGTAGACTAACATGTGGGAGATCACGTAGGATCCCGCACGTGTTCCAGGCCTTAGGAGAGGGAGAAGAAAGACGGCTTCGTGCCGAACGCAGAGCCCGTGCACTAGCAGCAGCTAGGGAAACAGCAAACGTTGCGGCTAGGAAACAGGCTGCAGTAACAGTCGGAGCAACAACAATGGCTTCTGCAGAAGCATCCTCTGCTGCATCTTCTGCTGCGTCCTCGTCAGGGACTCAGATGGGAATGCCCACAGGGTCCCCGGGTATCTCCACTTCACTAGGTTCTAGACAGTCTACAAGTCAAATGACGGGCGTGCAGTTCAACCTGTTGACTCCTCGCGAAAGGGAGCTCAGGGAGCTCCGACAAGTCGCAAGGATTCGTGCAAAGTTAGAGAAGGACCTGAAGGAAGCTACTGACAGAGAAAATGAGATAAAGAATTGAGCGGCCAGACTGGATACGTTAGAGGCTGACAAAGCTGAGCTAGAAGGCTTGGATGACTCTGGGATGAATGAGCCCATGAAAGTGTTGAGGAACAACATGCTGTCGCTGCATGCACACGTGGACAGCAGGTTGGACTTAATGCAGAGCACTTTGGACCAGATCCTAGACATGGCCAAGATTCCGGCCACCAACACAATCGCCGTTGCCGTTAACGACGATGTCAGGCCCCTTTCCCGTACAAGCTGGCACACAGCCAAGTGGTACGTCTGCAGCAGTCGCACAGACTGGTGCATCTTCTTCTTCGGGTCCAGCGGTGATTGCTACATCACCGCAACAACCTGTTCAGCAATCTGGACAGCCGCGAGGTCATTGGTACCCTAAGACCCCAATGAAACCGCCTCTTCCCTTCTCAGGTGAGAGGAAGGACGAAGAACTCAACCCTTGGTTGAGAACGGTCCCGGTTTGGGTGAAGGCTAAGAGAACCTTGCTGTAGGACGAAGTGGTAACTGCGGCATCTTACCTTGAAGGTAAGGCGGCCAAATGGCTAGATAGTGTAGTGATAAAGGCTGGGTACGGGCGACGCATGGCGGACTGGGCTAGTACATTAACGTTAGACTAGTTCATGGAAATGGTAGAAGCTCGATGGCATAATCCACATGAGGCACAAAGGGCCACTGCTGCGATTAATAAGTTAGACCAACGAAAATTCAAGTCGGTCAGAGAGCTTACGACTACCGTTGAGGGCCTGATCCTCGTTCCTGGTGTCAACTACAGTGACCAATTCCTGTTAACTACGTTTGTTAAATGTCTTCTCGAGAACATCAGGAACTTACTGGCCAGTGAGGCTCGCATCGAGTACCATTCGTTTGAGACATTGTCTAGGAAAGCCTTAGATTTGGAGGCCACGCTAGGCAATGCTCAACCAACCTCCCAGAATGACACGAAGAAGAAGAAGAGTCATCACGAGTGGAAGAAAAAGGGGGCTAAGTTGATGATGGTTGAGTTTGATGGGACTCAAACAGAGATCGACGAGCTCACCAACCTGATGGACTATACAGAGTTTGACGGCGAGGAAGTACCTGAGGGTGGCACCCTCGCCGCGGTAGTAAAGGCTAAGGCAGGTGGCCGAGGGAAGGGCCAACCAAGGAGTCAAGGGAAGGCCGCCTCCAATCAGACCAAGCAGGCTGAGTTAGTTAAGGCAGGTCTTGATCAAGACGTGTGGCGTGACCGCCGAACGCATGACGCTTGTATCAACTGCGGGGAGTACGGATACTCGCAGTACAAGTGCCAGAACGCGAAGGTTACGCAAAAGGTCGCTCCAAAGATAGGGGCATCTTATTCCCAGGCTTCAAGCTCGGGAAAAGCATGAGGCCAAGGGAAGTTTTAGTTGCTTCTACTCTTGGTGAAGTGGGCTTGATACCCTCCCCACTTCACGAGAAGGCCCAAGCTAATGACTCCTTAGTCACCCCGCAGACTCATCCGGACCAAACTATGCTCTGTACGTGGGATGTGTCTGAAGCCTTAGAAGACTTAGAAGGTGAGTGGTCAAACAAGGACCCTCGCGAGTCTTGGGTGGCGCTTAAGAAAGGTCCTAGAGGGGAACATTTCGTGGTGGAAGTCGATGTAGGAGGCCGCAAATGTGGTGCCTTCATAGACATAGGCTCCACGTGGAATTACATAAGTCGCGACTGTTTGGAAAGGCTGCACCTACAGGACCGGGTACGGCACCTTAGTAGCCCAGTAGCATCTACTTTGGCCAACAAGGAGCGCATGATTGTAACAGACTACATCAAGAACGTAGTCTGTACCTTCTCCTATGGAGGAGGAGAGCTTAACCATAAGATCTCGTTCTTGGTTAGCGACAATTTACCATTTGACATGTTATTAGGCATGTACTACCTCGAAGTTGCTAAGCCCCAGTTTGACTGGGATAAGAAGGTGCTTAAGCATAAGTTGTCCGACGACCGAACTGTCAGATTGACCAAGTTCAAGGCCAGTACTATTTTAGATACCTATGGCTGCTTGTGTGCATCAGCGTTCTACAACTACTGTAAGCAAAACCAAGAGGAAGGTATGTACCTTGTTTATGTCTCTGAGAAAGGGAAGACGGTTTTAAAACCCCCAGAGATAGAACGCGTCGTTGCTAAGTTCCCTGATCTGTTCGAAGAGCCCACAGGGGTTGTCGAAAGGGAAGTTGACCACGCTATAGAAATCATTCCAGGGAGTAAGACCCCAAAGGGAAGGATCTATAGGATGGCTCCCGCCGAGTTAGATGAACTTCGGCGACAACTTAAGGAGCTGACAGAGAAGGGATGGATTCGGCCTAGTACTTCCCCTTACGGATCACCCGTTCTATTCGTACCGAAGAAGGGGGGTACTTTGAGGATGTGCATTGATTATAAAGGCCTCAATGCCATCGCTGTGAAAAACGCAGAGCCTCTACCTCGCATGGACGACCTATTGGATAGGGTGCAGGGATGCAAGTACTATAGCAAGATAGACTTGAAATCCGGATATCACCAGATCGCTATAAGACCTGAGGACCAACACAAGACAACCTTTCAGACTCGCTATGGTCTGTATGAGTTTGTAATGACGCCTTTCGGTCTTTGTAATGCGTCGGGTACATTCCAGCACGCTATGAATCAGATCTTCCATGACCATTTAGATAAGTTTGTCGTGGTTCACCTTGACGACATTCTGATCTTTAGTAAGTCTGCCGAGGAGCACGCACAACACGTTGAGATTGTTCGCTCACTCCTGCGACAGCACAAGTATAAGGTCAACTTAGAGAAGTGTGAGTTTGGTCGCACAAAGATACTATACTTGGGTCATGAAGTATCCGGGGAGGGAATTAGGCCGGAAGATGCGAAGGTGGCGAGTATTCGAGACTGGCCACGACCTCAGACAGTTACTGAGGTCAGATCATTCTTAGGAATGTGCGGCTACTAAAGGAACTTTGTAAAGAACTATTCTATAGTCGCCTCTCCTTTGACTGATCTAACTCGACTTGACACACCGTGTGATTGGAGTGATGAGTGTGAGGGTGCTTTCGAGAGATTGAAGCATGCACTCATGAATCATGAGGTCCTCATGGTTCCCGATCCTCAGAAGCCATTCATAGTGACCATTGACGCAAGCCAATACGGCATTGGCGCAGTGTTGGCTCAGCAGGATGGGAAGAAGTTGAGACCGATTGAGTATATGAGCAAGAAGATGCCATCAAAGAAGTTGGCAAAGTCCACCTACGAAAGGGAACTCTATGCTTTATACAAAGCACTTGTCCATTGGAGACACTTCCTTTTGGGAAGGTTCTTCTACTTGAGGACTGATCATCAGACCCTCAAATGGATCAAGACTCAACCGGCTCTTTCTGATGCACTCAAGCGATGGATTGAGGTCATAGATCAATATGACTTCAAGCTTGAGTATCTGAAGGGAGAGTATAACAAGGTTGCTGATGCACTATCACGTAGAGCAGACTACCTAGGTGCGCTAGTTTCTGACTTTGGCGTATCTGAAGAAGTGACTCAATCATTAGTGGGAGCCTATCAGGAAGACCCTGTCACGATGGACATCATGCGCAAACTTCAGGCAAAAGACAAGGCCACGGAAAGTGAGTTTGTGACGGTGGACGGGTTACTCTATCTTGATAAGGCAGGAATAAAGAGATTAGTAGTTCCATCTAGTGAACAGTTGCATAGTTTGTTTTTAGGCGAATGTCATGACGCAACCGGGCACTTTGGCTACAAGAAGACGAGTGCTAACCTAGTACAACGATTTTGGTGGCCTGCTATGTTAGATGACGCGAAGAAGTACGTAGAGACCTGTCAGGTCTGTCAGCGGGACAAGCCGCGCACTCAAGCACCGCTTGGGTTGGTGAAGCCCTTACCTATCCCCGCTGGTCCTGGACTGAGTGTATCCATGGATTTCATGGACACCTTGGTGACCAGCAAGAGTGGCAAGAGGCACATATTCGTCATCATCGATCGATTTACCAAGTACGCTAGACTAGTGGCCATGCCAGAGACAGCCAGGACTGACTATGTCATCAAGTTGTTCAAGGACAACTGGGTGCGGGACTTTGGTTTACCAAAGACCATCATTAGTGACAGAGATGTCCACTTCACCAGTGAGCTGTGGAAGAAAACTGTGGAACAAATGGGCAGTCAACTTCAAATGACTTCAGGGAATCACCCCAAAGCCAACGGACAGGCCGAGCAAATGAACAGAGTTGTGCAACACTTGCTGAGGCATTACATCAAACCCAGCCAGGATGACTGGGATGAGCAATTGCCTCTCATCGCCAGTTTGTACAACAATGTTGTACATAGCAATACCGACGATAGTCCTAACCAGCTACACTTGGGATGGAAGCCTAGATCAACACTAGACTTCCTCCTACCTGAAAACCGACCTGCTGCAACTCCAGGCACACTTGAGTATGGTGTGCAATATGAGAAGTTGCTGCAAGAAGTTGTCGAGCACATGAAGAAAGCTCAGCAAGCAATGATTGCTTCTGAGAATCAACATCGTAGACAGTCCTCATTTAAGGTAGGGGAACGTGTCTGGGTCGAGGCTAGCGAGCTAGGACAGGAATTCAGAATCTCTCGTAAACTAATGCCACAGTATTTTGGTCCTTGGGAAGTCCTGGATATAGTGGGAGATGAGTTGGATGGTCCCACATATGTCATTCGTGTCCCTTGACACCTACGCACTCACCCAGTCTTTCATGCCTCAAAGCTTGCACCTTTCGCTGAGACTGATCAATTCCCTTCCAGGAGATCGATGCTGCCCCCAACCATGGATGGACAAGTCGGCATCGATGACATTGTGGATCATAGGGACATGCCTGTTGCAAAGCCGCTGGGTCGGGGAAGACCTCCTAAACCCAAGAGGGACTATCGCGTCAGATTCAGGCATCATATGGATCCAAAAGAAAATCGGTGGTTCACCAGGGAGGAACTGATTGAGACAGCTCCTCAAGTGGTGGCAGAGTATGAAAGAAAGCTGAAAGGGAAGGCACCTGCGAAGTAAGCATCTCAGCGGACTTTCGAAGCTAAGGGGGATGGAATGTGAGGAATGAGCCCTCAGATGGGGCCTTGCCGACATTCACATGTTCTGGGCATAGGCCCCCAGCAAGCCTTGTGCCCGCCCTAAGTGAAGGCGGGCCAGACCTGTGACCGCCCTAAGTGAAGGCTGGTCAAGATATCCACGAACAAGGCCTTTCTTTCAGCATTTTCGTAAAG